GTAGGTAGGTAGGTAAGTATGCATGTACGTACGCACGTACGTAACTACGTATGTATATATGTCTATATATGTATCGCTCTTTATCAAGGAGAAGCACTGCCAGCTGCCCGTGAAAGCTGCGGCTTTGCCCTTTGCACCCCATGTCCTGACTCCTTGGAAAAGCCGAAGGAATGCTCCGCGAGAGCCTCAGCTCACGCAGATGGTTTTGAGCCCTGCGTAGAAATTGTTTGCCTCGCCAAGGCACACCGGCCGCTTCCCTGACCCTTCGGAGGTTGCTGCGCCAGTCGGATAGCGCCCAGCGCTGGCCTCCGAAAGCAATAAGAGTACAGAGTATGAACAACGTCGTTGTTTCCCACATGCAGGTGCATCATGACGACACGAGGTCTGCTTGTTGCATGACAGGGGACAAGTAGGCGCTCTGCGCACAGGCCTTTAGGTCCTGGAAACCCCAGTCGGCATACAAAAATGTCTGCACTGCCGGCGACACGCTCAAGTGCTCGTGGAGTCCTCGAGCTCCGCCCGGATGGCAGCCTGCCCAAGCTCAAACCCATGCACTTCCATCGTCCACTGATAGACATTCTGGCCTCGAGCTCTGTTTCAGGAGCTTCCAGGAAGTAGAAGCTATCACCCGCGGCCGTGATGTTGGTTTGCACCTCAGAATTTTCTGCATCTTGAGAAATTGAACAAGTGCCCAGCTCTGTTCATCCATTCTTCCCAGGTCAGCACACCCGAAGTACAACGCAAAAACCATGAAGCGCACAATTGGCCAGGCAGCCTCGCATTCGCAGCCAGTGCCAGACCTAGGCTGGACTAGGTCAGGCCTTGCCACTGCCTCAACTACATTTGACCTGCATGCCCGAAGTTCAATTAGGCACTTGTCGCCAAGTCGCACTGTTGCTTTGCTGGCAGCTCGGCGTGCGATTTCTGCATCCACGGCAGCTTCAAACTGGTCGATGATTTGGGCGCGTAGCATTTTTAAATGTCATAAGGAGACACAGCAAATGAAACTGAACACACACACACACACGCACGCACAAGAACATCGAACAACTAAATGGTAATGTTGTGTGATTGTCTGCGCTTCTCATCTCTGTTCGGGCCTCTGCCGCCCGTTCCTCTGGGTCCTCGTCCTCTTCCTCGCCATCGCCCGGCAGCCGTTTCTTGCTGGACTGCAGGGTGCACGGCTCAAGCAACTTCAGATGTCCAGTTCTCGCTGGCTAACTTTCCGGACTGCAGTTGTCTGTTTAGTCCCTGAATTACTCAAAAAGGTGCTTGCCTCCCATCGGCACAACACTCGGAACAAGCCTACAAGAAGAGGGCACAATCCACGCGATTGAAAAGCCCCGAGGGGCACTCATGTGGTCAGTGCCAGGAACAAAGCCAAGCAAAGTCATCTAGAGGCAGAGAGCCAGGCGTGGGGTTGGCTCTTGCTTGTTCGAATACAGCCTGTCTCGATGCTTCCTTCGAGGCGCCGCGGAGATTCTCCAACCTGACAACAGGTCCGATGCACACAATCAGCAACGAGTCTTAGAAGAACGATTCCCGCCCGTTACAAGAAACCTCTACAGTAGTTCCAACATCTTCACGTTTGCGTTTGTCTTGAAATGACACCGTTCTTACTAACTTGATGTGTGTGTGCGTGCAAGTTTGCTACTGCACTGCGTGAAGCATGCTACTCACTGCGTGAAGCATGTCTGCAGCGGCTTTCTGCACAGGAGGACAATCAATATTGTCCCTTCCATGCAAAACTTCCAACCCGGCGGTCTTTCAAAACTACAGTTTCAGCGTGGCAAGCCTGATTTATGCGTAAACCAAAGCCAAGAGGACTTAGATCTACAAACTTGACCTTCAGAGTCTACAGACTCTGAACCTCAGGTTCACTAGGTTCAGTCAGGCGTCTCTTGCGTCCTCTTTCGCAACACCTGCCGGATCTGTACAGCACTGTCGCTCAGCGTCGTGTCCTCCGTGGGCGCGAAGGTTGAGGTTGATGCTGTCGACGAAGCTTTTCATGTAGTAGAGTCAGTAGAGTGGTAAGCCAGGGCACGTTTCGCGAGCTGTGCGTGTTTCGATTCCGTATCACTCTCACTCTGGGTACAAAACCAAGCTGATTCGAAAGTACGAGCAGTCCTCTGGTGGTGGCTCATTGCCTGACAGCAAGCGTGCGATTCTATGGCCAGAAGCACAAAACCAGCGGCAGCTCCATTCCTGTTACGGGACGACGTGATAAGGACCAGTACTAGCAGCACGAGCAGGACTCCAACAAAAACACCGCAATTTTCTGGCTCGAGTATTGAATCTCATGAGCCGCAACTGGGTTCCCCATGAACCCCCGACTGCCTGCAGCCACGTGCGCTTCCTGCAGGATGGCTTGCGCTTCATCCTTGCATGTGCAGGTTGAAGGTTCGAGCTCCGGCTACGCCGTCGATCGCGGACGTGCTTGTAAACAAGGGTAGGTGTCTCCAGTTCTCCACTACATGAACCCACACACCCGAGCCCAGCCGCGACATCGACTTGAATCTTCTGGCATAGACCTCGCTGATCCTGTCAAGACACGTAGTCGTCGAGCTTGGCTTTGGCCTGCATGCGATCTTCGTTCAACTTACACAGATGGGGAGGAGCTGAGAACCGCTCTTCGACAGGTGGCTCAGCAGCTCGCAAGCGCCTGAAGCCACGATCGACAACAGCTAGCTACTGGCTCAGATTCGTGAGAGACTTGCGCAGTTGGGAGCTTCAGCAGCGGCTGAAGTGGCCCTCCGTCTCGTTAACACGACCAAATCAGCCAAAGAGCTCTTTCTCCAATTGGAGCTTCAGCTTGGCGACCTGCAGCTAGTTTGGAAAGCGCGATCTCTGTTTCCCTACAACCAGGCAACTGCGGAGGAGCCTGCTTTCGGAGCTCGTCCATCTCCTCCGCGTCATCGAAAACGCGGCTTTTGGCCTGAAGCAGCTGCACGCACTCGAACGACCGAAAGAAAGCGCAGTCGTGGAAGCCGAAGAAGGCAAGGTGCCGCTTGAAATTTCGGCTTCGAGTTGGCTCGCAGCTCCTCTGCCATCGAGTCACCTTAGGCTCGGCAATCGATATCAAGTGTCCAACGAACCGTGGCTCTAAGAAGTGCATACATCAACAACGGCGTCGCGTCGAGCCAGTTTGCTTACCTACCCAAAAAAAGCTGACGAAGCCGAAAGCCGTCCCAGCGGCTGCGCCGAGCCTGGGCCTCGGCGGCATCGCGGAGATTCTGCGCCTCTGGACAAACTTCTGGGAGGGACCCCCTCCTCTTCCTCGTGTCTCCCTATCACATGTGTGTGCCGTAGCGTGGATATGCCTACGGAGACCTCTGGTGGACGAGGAACGGCTTGCCATCTCGCACACAGAAACAGTCTAGATTCTGAAATGTTCAAAGGAAATAGGAGAGCTGCTCCATCGTAACGGGAAATCAGGTCTTCTACCCACTAGTGAAAAGCGACAAACACATCCAAATTTACAACTACACTACCAACACCCACCTGCTGGGTCTTCTGCCTACTGAAGAGATTGGGCTGTCCTGAGTCTCCGGTACCCGGTACACGGTCTGATTGGGTCTTATCAGAGTCTTATCACCATTATAGAAAGGGAAGAATCCCGTCATGTGGGGAGCAGCTTTTCCTCGACTTCAAAGTGAAACAGGAGTGAGTAGCGGAGCTTCCATGTGTGTGGTGAGAGATAAAGGAGCCATGCTATGTCCCACGGTGAGACAGATACGCTTCTCATCTTGTTTTGCTTAGGTGGAAAGAGCCTCTTTACGTTTCTCTTGTGCGTTCTTTCTACTTCTGACGCAAAAGAGAGTCATTTTCAATGTGATGTGTGTTAGCGTAGTGCTTGTTATTTCTCAGCCAGACTGTTGCAAGATGAGACAGTGGAGGCGCACGTGTTCTGTCAACAGATGCTGAGGCTGGAGAACATTTCTTTTAGAAAGTTTCACTTTGGTGACAGATGTGACAGTTCTCGTAGATGAGCTCTTCGTTTTGCATTGGGGCGGCCCATTCTTGTATCACTCGAAAAATAAAAGAACATCCAGGAGCCCTCCTACAGGAAACGAGCTATGAAGCATGAAGCATCAACGGTGCTATGGCGCTTCGCAAGAAGCCGACCCATCGCGAGCGCCTACTAACACCCATCACTTATGGCGCATGACACCTTAATCCCCCAAAATCAATCCACAGCTCTCAAATACCAATCACCTGCCACTAGGTCTGCCCACCTTCCGGTGGATCTTGGGGGAAGGGGCTAGTAGAGATGCAATGTTGCTCATGAGACATGCACGTCACTCCTCAGTCGCACGACGAAAATAATTGCTGACTTGTGTGTGTGTGTGTTGGTTGCTTGTCGCTTGTATTCATTTCCGTGTGGCTGCCCGCATCTCTTCGCGTTCTTGCCTACGAAGATCACTACTTTCATTTCTCAGAAGTCCATTTATGTTTATCTACCTACCTATCTACCGATCGACCTGCCTCCTTGCACATGAAAAGAAACGGAAGCAGGAAGATAGATGGATAACTGAATACAAAGATAGATTGTCCTGTGTTTCGTCCTGCAAGCCTTCGCTCGTTCATCCGTTTGTCGAAGCAGGACAGGACCTTGAAATGTCACTTGAAGAAAATCGGCGACCCCATAAAAGGTAATTAACAGGGTCTTGATTCTAAGGTTCCCAAAAGTTGCGAATCTTCTTTTTTATCCTTTCGTCTTGGAATCCTCCGGCTTCTGGCCAGCCTCGCGCTGCAGTGCGGCAATCTCCTCCTCGGCTTTCTTCCTCGCAAAGCTGACAAGTAGAGAACCTTCCCCACAACAACAACAACAACAGAAACAGAAATGAACGACCGCCGACTACATGCCAGTAGCCGTAGCTCGGAACCAAAGTAAACCAACTCGAACAGACTTGGGCTGCATGCGTTCTGGCATGAACCAGGTAACTAGGCTGAAGCATAAGCTCTGGAAGGGCGCAGTTCAGACGAGCAAGGATCAGCCATCCTGTTTCGGTTGGGGCACCAACTGCGTACCTGCATGTAGCTAGCCAACACACAGCTGGGGCAGCTGCCGTAACGCTCGCTCTTCCTCGAGCTCGGTGCCAGCCTGTTCGGGATTCGCACACCGACAGTTGTCACAATGTCAGCTGTCACATGACCTGAGACCGCAGATGCTCAGGACATCGAGTCCCACGTCCAAAGTTTGATGGTGCTCGTGTCGGTTTTGAGACCGCCCCTGCTACAAAGACGGATCTACACAAACTTCGTCGGCCACAAATCGCAGCTCCCCGTTTCAGGCCTGCATCAGAGCCTGGCGAAGCGCCTCCACGTTTTTGGCCGATGCTTGATGTTGCACAGGCGACTCGTCCTGAGCATAACTTCGGAACGCTCGAGTATGCTCGAGTTCTGCCTTCAAAGCTGAAGAGGTGCAGGAAAGGCCCAGCCAAGGCTCGGCAGCTGGGGAAGTCTGCAATTTGACGACAGTCTTAGCCCATTCGATCATCTCCTCGCAATCGCAGGGCACTGTCTAGCAGCTCAAGAGTTCATCCGCTCAGGGTTTTGTGACACCGCTTACAATCTCCGGCCGGCTTCAAGCTACACTTAACACTTTGACAACAACACATTGCGAAGAGAACTAGACTGAGCGCATCCCATAATTTGACCCACAGACTTTGTCGTCAAAGGTCCTTGTCCGCCAGTCTGGCCAGGGAGTCTATGACGTTCTGGGAGCCGTGCTTGTTGCACGCAAACTGAATGCAGTTGTCCCTGGCACTGGGACCCAGTATGCGCCAGTGCTTCAAAACAGGCTTCAGACCCATGCTTCTCCGTATGCCGCTCTTCACTTCGAGACGTCCAGAAGATGACAAGGCGAGCCCAGGCACATATGAAAATTCATGTTCAGTCTTCCAGTACTTGAAGAGCTCCACTCTGCACAAGCGCATGAGACACGAGACCCAGCCAGGTCACGCGCTGTCATCTTCTCGACTGCGGCTCAGAGCCTGCAACACGGCGCGGATCCCCGCAGTTGTGAAGCTGGCAGACGGCACAGCTGGAGTTCGGCAACTCCCAAGCCAGAGCTGGTGCTATGGCAGCATGCGAGAAGAACCTCAACAGTCTCAAGCTGCAGCTCCAAATCTGCAATCCGCCGCTGGCCTTAGACAACTTCTTGTGAGGCTAGTGTGTCTTGGTGCCAGGTCCTCACACTGGAAATATCGACAACTGAAGGTGCATGGTGCTTGTTGTCTGGCGTGTTCCTGGACAACTTGTGGCGTGTAGCGGTTCTTCTATCGCCTGCATTCATGAAGACGGAAACATTCCCGAGCGGGATGAGATGCAGCCCAGGCACAGATTCTCAGCTTGTCACTGTAGACCTTCACCTGGCCCACCAAGGTCTGATTTTCTATGCTAACCGGTCACAAGACAAGGAGCAAGTGAGAGTTGCTTCTCCGGGAATGCTTGCTGTCGAGAAGCACTAAGCGTGATCTTGTCATTTAACTGCTGTCGCAACTCCTCACGACACCGTTGAAGTTTAGGCTTTCTGAGCTGCGGCTACCGAGAGTCTCTTCACAAGAGCGGTTTTGCAGAAGGACCCCTGAAACAAAACCATCCTTTTGGCACAAGCGATCTCAAACTCGACCTGCGAGGTCCGGCTCCGTTTGGGCTCAGGCAGGAAAACGAGTACTCCGTCCTCCTCCAGATACTCGGTCGGGTCAAAAAAGTAAGCTTCAACGGGCTCAAAATTCTCATCACCCTCTTGGTGCTTGATGTAGAGCTGGTTACCTCGGATTTTGCAAGCGACCGCCATTGAGCTGAACCGCGGTCAAGTTCTGAATTCTGATGATATCTGGTCAGCGCAGGTCAACTGAACAACTCACCACCGCGTGCCACCCATGCCAAGGCACGCAGGTGTGTGATCTCAAGGAAGTAGGCATACCTGCAGAGAGAAAACAGAACATCATAAACGTGGCGACAGGCACAGGTGTAGCAGACTCACTACCCATATACACCATCTCATACAATACAAGGAAGCTGAGGAGCGGTGGAGGGCTTGTGCTTTTAAAAGTTTGGCGGGAGGCCTTTTTTCAACAGTTTGGCGGGACATGGTTTGGGTTCACCTGTGGGATTCTAGTTGCAGGGTTTGTTTGTGCGTCAAGCTATTGGGGAATTCTAGTTTTCAGGCTTTGTTTGCGCTCAAGCTATTGGGGGATTCTAGTTTTCAGGGTTTGTTTGTGCGTCAAGCTATTGGGGGATTCTTAAACTGCCCTCTCATTTGGCGATTCCGGTTCAACATATATCTTAAACATGCCCCCTCATACGTCAGTTCACGATTCACGCCCCATCATTTGGCGATTCCGGTTCATCATACATATTTGCGAAGGATAGCCTCGATTTTCCGATATTTTCATCACCGGGGGTTGCCTGGGCGCAGCAAACACAATCATCGCATGATGGGTTTCAAAACAAGAAACTCATATAGATTGAAGCCAGCTTGAACTGCTTAAGCCAGCGGGGGGGGGTGAAAAACACTCAGATGCTTTGAAGCAAGCTTGCACAGCTTAAAACAGCGGTAGAATTGGTCGCAGCCCTCCAAATTGCAAACAGAAAGCTCGCAGTATGGGTTTCAAAAAAGACTCATATAAATTGAAGCAAGCTTGCACGGCTCAATAAAAAGGGGGGTTGGGGGGGGGGTGCAACCCCCTCATTTGCAAACACAATGCTCGCATGATGGGTTTCAAAAAGGATCATATGCTTTAAGGCAACCTTGCAAAGCTTAAAAACAAGCGAGTCCGGATCATCGTATATCTTGAACACACCCTCTCATTTGGCGGCTCCGGTTCAACATATATCTTAAACACGCACCCTCATTTGGCGATCCCGCTTCAACATACATCCTACTCATGTGGCGATTCCGGTTCAGGTTCAACATATATCTTAAACAGGCCCCCTCATTTGGCGGTTCCTTTGGGCTTTGTGTTAGTTGATCGTGTTTTTGTTGCTTTCTAAATTTCAATGGGTTTTCGCCAAATGAGGGGGCGTGTTTAGGATGTCTCATGAAGCGGAATCGCCAAATGAGGGCGCGTGTTTAAGATATGTGATGAACCAGAATCGCCAAATGAGGGGGCGTGATTTAGATATACGATGAACCCGAATCGCCAAATGAGGGGGCGCGTGCTATATATCTCTATATGATGATGATGATAATGATGATGATGATGAACCGCCAGATGACAGGGCAGTTTAAGATATCTGATGCACCGGAATCGCCAAATGATGTGGTGTGAATCGCCAAGTGAGGGAGCGTGTTTAAGATATCTGATGAAATGTGCAATTCCGGCTCATCATAACCAGACCGGAGGACCAGCAGACCAAGGAACTACGACACGAAGCGTGTAGAGGACCAGAGGACCAGGGCATCAGGGGACCAGTGGACTACAGGACTTGGAAACCGGAAGACCAAAGGAACAGGGATCGGGTGGCCAGGCGACCAACGGACGCAAAGACCAGGAGGCCAGAGAAACCAGAGGGCCAAAATAACAAGGTAGCAGAAAGTTGGAAAACCACGGGACCGAAGAAAGCACGGGACCAAGAAACCAGAGGACCAGGAAAGCGCAGGACCAGGGACCGGGGAAGCTCGTGACCAGGGGACCCGGGGACCGCAGGACCGGACCAGAGAACCAGAGGACCACCTTCAAGCCAAACCTTTGAAAGGACAGCCTCCCGCCAAACCTTAAAATCAAAAAACCTGGCCCAGGACAACCTCCTGGCACAAAAACATCCTGCATCAGATTACGCCAAGGTCACGTGTGCCCTTCACTCCCGGAGCTTTCTCTGAAATCTGGACATTTGAAAATGGAGACGGCGAGCGACGGCAGCAGCGACTACTATGTGCGATGTGATCCCGGCAGCGCTGCCCGCCCAGATCAATCCATGAGATTTTGTGTATCGTGATGAACCTTTGCCTTCCAAAACAGCCTCCCCTCACTGCCTTGTCAGTTGTCGAAAACATGCAAAAAATCGTCGCCTGTGCTTTTTCGCGACGAAGGACAAGTCTGTTAAGGGTGTCAATTGTGACCGGGATCACATCTCGGCAGTGTAACCCCACATCCCCTGGAGTTATCCCCGAACGTCTAATCGGTGGTCATTTTGATAGTCTGTCTAGCAGTCTAGCGTGGACCCCAGTGCCCGGACCACAGAAGGAAAGTCTTGTGGCAGGCAGAGATCTGAAGTCACAAGGGCTCTCGGACTTCAGAGCTCACAAGCGCATCATTTTCGCAGGAGGCGTTCACTGCTAAAAGAACTCACAGCTTAAGGGGTCCACTAACGGCAGCACATGCAAAGGAGATCGGAACATCCAAAGCGGCTACACATGCTTAAGATTCACAGAAAGATCAGTGGAAGGCCACACCGAGGAATCACCCAGAACTGCAAAACCTTTCGCAACAGGGTCGGAGAGACGGAAAGGTGTAACACTGCCAGGACTTTAAGCCTTCGATCGTTTTGACAGCACGACCCCCAAAACTCCTACGCTAAAGACTATCCATATCACCCGGACAAGGTCTTGGGGCAGTTAGAGCCTGTCGAAATCGAACATGGGCCCGGTTATTTGGATTTGACAGACGTGCCCGGCCCCGCCGCGATGGACTGTGAGAGGATGCGACTTTTGTCGAACATGTGCCGCGGAACCGCGCCGGATGCCCTTGCTTGACAAGCCTGGCACTAGCAACCCCAACATCATGATCCCGATATCTTTCAGTACGGCCACAGGCGGGGCACCGACAGTTGGAAAGCTGACGTGATCGATCCTTGAGGTGGTGCTCCAAAGTCCTTGCGAGATTTCAATGGCTGTCAAAGGTCGCTCCAAAAATTGCCCGAGTTGGAGCCAAAGCTCGTCATCCTTTCCTGAAGAGCCTGAGTTACAGCGCGGTCAGCAAACCACAGCTCCACTGAGTGGGCAACTCTAAGCTACTTTACTTCTAAATTGAAGCTCATTCCGGCCTGGTTGAAGCGTTCTAGACCTTTGGCTTTCGTGACGTTTTCCTTGGCTGTGCCCATGGACGTTCACCGGCAAATTTGACCACAGTCACATCGGAGCTCGCTCTGGGATCGTGAAAGCTTGCGCATCGCACAGTTGCACCTAAGAGCACATGCTTTACCTTGCTCCCAGCCGAGAAACGACATGCACGTTCGTCCAAACCTTGCACGGGCCAAAGAGCACAGCAGCACGTTTCTGCTAAATCCGGCAAACCTTTAAAGTCCGGTCGCAACTACCATGTTTGGCCCAAGTTCTTGTCCTAATCCTAATGTGCTCCCATGATCAGACTAGATTGGTGACTCCGCTCGATTCGCTGGCGACGCCGAATCAGTTCCGCAATCCAAGACTTTGACCTTCATGAATCTGCGCGAAGTCACCAGAGGGCCACACTCTTCTGAGGCTCCTCCGGTCCTAGGGTCCTCGACGTGATCTCAAACTTCCTCCGCCAATATCTTCCTCCATTAAAGGGGTTTCGGAATTTCGGGACCTGCACATCTCTGAGCCACCGGCTGCACCAAAGAGGCAGCTCACAAGTGTCTGAAGAGCTTCATCTACCTGTACGTGCAAGACTGGCCTATACTGACGTACAAGCGTCGGGTTTATCTCACATCGGTCGGCGAGAATAC